ATTAAGAAGGCAAAGATAGGGGAGCGCCGTCCGCTAGCTCCGTGACAGGAATGGTTTTCGGAGTGGGCCCAAATTGGACGTAAGGTGTCTCCTTCGCTAAGAAAGCCAAGACAGGGGAGCGCCCTCCGTACGGGCAGTGGGGGCCGCCCGAACCAACAGTGTGCGGTCCAGTCTCGGAAAGCCCACTTCGGCCACCGTGGTCTCCTTCATTAAGAAGGCAAAGATAAGGGAGCGTCGTCGGTACGGGCAGTGGGGGCCGCCCGAACCCGCCGTCCGTACGGGCAGTGGTCCTCTTGCACGCGCCGCCGTCCGTACGGGCAGTTGGCTGCCAAACCAAAATCCAGCGCGTCCGTACGGGCAGCGGGGGGCCGCACGAACCGGCCGTCCCTACGGGCAGTGGGGTCCAGTCTGCGGTCCAGTCTCGGGTTGTCCGAAATGGCAGCCCGCTTCGACCGTCCGTGTCTCGTTCATTAAGAAAGCAAAGATAAGGGGAGCGCCGTCCGTACGGGCAGTGGGGGCCGTCCGAACCGGCCGTCCGTACGGGCAGTGGGGTCCTTTTGCACGCGCCGCCGTCGCCTGCGAGCTGTCAGGGAGTGCACACGGCGCCGTCCGTACGGGCAGTTGGGTCCAGCCTGCGGACTGTCCGAAATGCGGCTCTTTTCATGTGGCTGCTCAAGACCTCAGGAGCCATTTAGGATCCGGACCCTAGGGTTTAGGGTATTAAAATATACTATTATTTATTTTCACGCTGGAAGCGTAATGCACCCTCCGAAGTGAACGAATGCGGGTACGGAGCACGAAGCTAACTCTTCGCGCTCAAGCTGCAAGCAGTAAGCATCCGTTCTTGAAACGGATGCCGGTGCTCAGCGCACGTGCGCTGGTGATGCCATAGGCTCCTAGACGTCGCGACAGGCATCACCAGCTTTAGTTTAGGGTTTAGGGTTTAGGGTTTAGGGTTTAGGGTTTAGGGTTTAGGGTTTAGGGTTTAGGGTTTAGGGTTTAGGGTTTAGGGTTTAGGGTTTAGGGTTTAGGGTTTAGGGTTTAGGGTTTCCCACAGTAAGCGGCGCGCCTCGACCCAGAGGGTCGCGGGGCGGCGCGCCGAGCTGGACGCGACATCCCACCCCAAGACCACCCAGACATTGAATCTGTTAGGGTTTAGGGTTTTTCTTATGGGGTTTGGACTTCCCTTAGCTTAAGGTCTTGCTTATAGGCTTTCGTCGGGGGGCCGCTCACAGCGGTACTGAATGTTTGGTGGAGTGCAGGGCGCCGTCCGTACGGGCAGTTCCGGCCGTCCGTACGGGCAGTACAATGGCGCCGTCCATACGGGCAGTTGCCATTTTGTGCGTACACGGAGTGCGCGTTGAGGTCTTGCTTATAGGCTTTCGTCAAGAGCCCTTCGCAGCGGTACTGAATGTTTGGTGGAGCGCGGGGCGCCGTCCGCACGGGCAGTTCCGGCCGTCCGTACGGGCAGTGGGGTCCAGCCTGCGAGCTGTCAGGGAGTACAATGGCGCCGCGCCGTCCATACCCCGCCGTCCGTACGGGCAGTTGGGGCGGCCCGAACCGGCCGTCCGTGCGGGCAGTGGTGGTCTCCTTCATTAAGAAGGCAAAGATAAGGGACCGCCGTCCGTACGGGCAGTCGGAGCCGCCGCAGTGGGGTCCGCCGCCGTCCGTACGGGCAGGTGGCTGCCAAACCGGCCGTCTGTACGGACAGGCCTCTAAGGGTGTCCTTCACTAAGAAGGCAAAGATAGGGGAGCACCGTCCGTACGGGCAGTGTGGCTGCCAAACCGGCCGTCCGTACGGACGGGTCCAGTCGGCGGGTTGTGCGAGATGCGGCTGCCGGAACCGGCCGTCCGTGCGGGCACTTGGTGAGGGAGTTCATTAAGAAGGCAAAGATAAGGGAGCCGACAGGAGTCCTCTGGCACGCGCCGCCGTCCGTACGGGCAGTTGGCTGCCAAAACGGCCGTCCATACGGATAGTGGGGTCCGACACGGCCGTCCGTACGGACGGTGGCAGCCTGTGAGCTGTCAGGCAGTACACACGGTGCCGTCCGTACGGGCAGTTGGCTGCTGCGGAAACTTTGAAAATTGCAGCTGGGTTTGGAGTATTAAATTCTTTTCATAAAATGTGCGTTTTAATTAGGCCAGGCGCCAATCTCGAGGTGCCCTCCTTTCTTTTCATGTGGCTGCTCTTGGCTGGCCGTCCGTACGGCGGCTTGGGTCCAGCCTGCGGTTTAAAGCACGGACACAAGAAGCCTTTTCGTGAAGCAGCTCAAGACTTCACAAGCCGTTTACGGTCCGGACCCTAGGCTTTAGGGTAATAAAGTTTCTAGAGAACTATTATACGCTGGAAGCGTAATGCACCCTCCGAAGTGAACGAATGCGGGTACGGAGCACGAAGCTAACTCTTCGCGCTCAAGCTGCAAGCATTAAGCATCCGTTCTTGAAACGGATGCCGGTGCTCAGCGCACGTGCGCTGGTGATGCCATAGGCTCCTAGACGTCGCGACAGGCATCACCAGCTTTAAGTTTAGGGTTTAGGGTTTAGGGTTTAGGGTTTAGGGTTTAGGGTTTAGGGTTTAGGGTTTAGGGTTTAGGGTTTAGGGTTTAGGGTTTAGGGTTTAGGGGTTTTCGGGTTTTTTAGGTTTTTTTTAGGGGGGTTAGGGTTTTAGGGTTTAGGGTTAGGGTTTAGGGTTTTCGGGTTTAGGGTTTTAGGGTTTAGGTTTAGGGTTAGGGTTTAGGTTTAGGGGTTTAGGGTTAGGGTTTTAGGGTTTAGGGTTTAGGTTTAGGGTTTTAGGTTTCGGGTTTAGGGTTTCCCACAGTAAGCGGCGCGCCTCGACCCAGAGGGTCGCGGGGCGGCGCGCCGAGCTGGACGCGACATCCCACCCCAAGACCACCCAGACATTGAATCTGTTAGGGTTTAAGGTTTTTCTTATGGGGTTTGGACTTCCCTTAGCTTAAGGTCTTGCTTATAGGCTTTCGTCGGGGGGCCGCTCACAGCGGTACTGAATGTTTGGTGGAGTGCAGGGCGCCGTCCGTACGGGCAGTTCCGGCCGTCCGTACGGGCAGTACAATGGCGCCGTCCATACGGGCAGTTGCCATTTTGTGCGTACACGGAGTGCGCGTTGAGGTCTTGCTTATAGGCTTTCGTCAAGAGCCCTTCGCAGCGGTACTGAATGTTTGGTGGAGCGCGGGGCGCCGTCCGCACGGGCAGTTCCGGCCGTCCGTACGGGCAGTGGGGTCCAGCCTGCGAGCTGTCAGGGAGTACAATGGCGCCGCGCCGTCCATACCCCGCCGTCCGTACGGGCAGTTGGGGCGGCCCGAACCGGCCGTCCGTGCGGGCAGTGGTGGTCTCCTTCATTAAGAAGGCAAAGATAAGGGACCGCCGTCCGTACGGGCAGTCGGAGCCGCCGCAGTGGGGTCCGCCGCCGTCCGTACGGGCAGGTGGCTGCCAAACCGGCCGTCTGTACGGACAGGCCTCTAAGGGTGTCCTTCACTAAGAAGGCAAAGATAGGGGAGCACCGTCCGTACGGGCAGTGTGGCTGCCAAACCGGCCGTCCGTACGGACGGGTCCAGTCGGCGGGTTGTGCGAGATGCGGCTGCCGGAACCGGCCGTCCGTGCGGGCACTTGGTGAGGGAGTTCATTAAGAAGGCAAAGATAAGGGAGCCGACAGGAGTCCTCTGGCACGCGCCGCCGTCCGTACGGGCAGTTGGCTGCCAAAACGGCCGTCCATACGGATAGTGGGGTCCGACACGGCCGTCCGTACGGACGGTGGCAGCCTGTGAGCTGTCAGGCAGTACACACGGTGCCGTCCGTACGGGCAGTTGGCTGCTGCGGAAACTTTGAAAATTGCAGCTGGGTTTGGAGTATTAAATTCTTTTCATAAAATGTGCGTTTTAATTAGGCCAGGCGCCAATCTCGAGGTGCCCTCCTTTCTTTTCATGTGGCTGCTCTTGGCTGGCCGTCCGTACGGCGGCTTGGGTCCAGCCTGCGGTTTAAAGCACGGACACAAGAAGCCTTTTCGTGAAGCAGCTCAAGACTTCACAAGCCGTTTACGGTCCGGACCCTAGGCTTTAGGGTAATAAAGTTTCTAGAGAACTATTATACGCTGGAAGCGTAATGCACCCTCCGAAGTGAACGAATGCGGGTACGGAGCACGAAGCTAACTCTTCGCGCTCAAGCTGCAAGCATTAAGCATCCGTTCTTGAAACGGATGCCGGTGCTCAGCGCACGTGCGCTGGTGATGCCATAGGCTCCTAGACGTCGCGACAGGCATCACCAGCTTTAGTTTAGGGTTTAGGGTTTAGGGTTTAGGGGTTTAAGGTTTAGGGTTTAGGGTTTAGGGTTTAGGGTTTAGGGTTTAGGGGTTTAGGGGTTTAGGGGTTAGGGGTTTAAGGGTTAAGGGTTTAGGGTTAAGGGTTTAGGGTTTAGGGTTTAGGGTTTAGGGTTTAGGGTTTAGGGTTTAGGGTTTAGGGTTTAGGGTTTAGGGTTTAGGGTTTCCCATAGTAAGCGGCGCGCCTCGACCCAGAGGGTCGCGGGGCGGCGCGCCGAGCTGGACGCGACATCCCACCCCAAGACCACCCAGACATCAAATCTATTAGGGTTTAGGGTTTTTATAAGAGATATCTAGCAAATTGGCTTTGAAGTTGAAATATTCACCGCAAGCCATTTTTTCGGAGAGTAACTAACCAGGCAAGCGTTTTTTGGGCGGATAGTGTTACAACCAACCGCCAAGCAAGCGTTTTTTGGTCAGATATTGTGGAGGCCTTCGAGTCGCAGCCACGCGGCGCGGTGTAGGCGGAAAAGTATGAAAAAACTTCTTTGGCCTCGCAGGAAGAGGAAGTCGTGAGCTTTTCTTCACTTGGCTGGGATCAAATGGTCTGCGTTGACGATACCACCTATAAGGTAATCTTCATCCCTGGCCACCCTGGATAGCGCAACATAGGCTGCGGCCCGGCACCACCGGCGGTTGAGCCAAAGTGTGACATGCTCCAGTTCCGCACCTTGGAACTTGTAGATGGTGCCTGCGTAGCCCGTGCGGATCGGGAAGTACACGGCGCGCCCACGGGGAACGTCCGTGTCCGTGTAACGATAAATGGCCAGTCGCTTGCCCGTCTGTGTGCGGACACGTAGGCAGCCGGTGGTCGGAAAGTAGCCTTCCACCGTGGCCACCATGCCATTAACGTAATGGTTCTCTTTGTCTTGATTGCGAGTCAAGACAACCCTGAGGCCTCTGTACAGCTGGACTGGGTTCGGCAGCGGGGCACGATCGCGACGAAGGTTGCCGTATTCGTCGAAGTTCTCTTCATTGTCATCATAGTCGCCCGGAATCTCAGCCAACAGCTGCTGCTTCCGGTTGGAAAAGAGAACTTGTACGGCCAGGGCATTGATGCTAGCGGCCCCCCTCTTGGTGCAGGTGACAAAAGTCGTCTTTCCGCCGGTGCGCTTGAAGACGGAATCGATGTCAAGGCTCGTGGGCTCGTCGTGACCGGTCCAAGCCTTGTGCTGGTAGCACAAGCGATTGACGAAGCGCTTGCCTTCCTGGCCAAGCGGCTTGTGATGACGCAGGAAATCCAGCTTCGCCTGCAAGACGGCACACTTGCAACGCCGTACCTCGGTCAAGGTCACCACGTGCGTAAGGCGCCACTTGTCGTGGTCGCAGGCCCGCTGCGGGTGGATGCTCGGGAGTTGGCAGTCATCGCCCATAAGCAGCAGAAGGAGCTGCTTGCCGGTAGCACAGAACATGGCATCCAGGCGCCCATACTCCTCGGCGCTGAGCTGCAAGGCTTCGTCAATGACCACGACATCGTACTCGGCCATGAGAGCAAGGGTCTCAGATTCTGGCCGGTAGAACAGGAAGGCGCCGGCGCAAGTGTCGACGTGGACGTCGGGGTGGCGCTGCCGCATGCGGCAGGCCAGCTGCCCCGTTGGCAGCGCGTACAGCACGCGGTGGCCACGCCGCACAGCCACGCGGATGAGGTAGTCGGCGACGAACGTCTTACCCGTGCCAGGGCCGCCCATACACACCAAGATGCTGTTCTGCTCCTCGAGGCGCAAAGCCACATCGTCGGCCTCTTCCGGTGTCTGTGCGTGCTTCAAAGCTTGAATCAAATCCAAGCGTTCCAGCGCGCACCGCTCCAAGGCTTGCTGCTGCCGGTTGAAGCGGGGCCGCTCTAGCCCAGCGGCACCCGGCAGCGAAGGCAAGGCTGGCTCGGGCGCTTCGTCCTCCAGCGAGATGAGGCCACGCAGGTATTGATCCACGATCTCACGCTGAGCATCCAGCAGAGCGAGGAAGTTAGCGATGGTCGCGTCCTTGTAGGCCGCCAGCTGCAAGTCCTCGCGCACTCGTGCTCTGTCCGTCCAGTAATCTCCAGCGGCGCGCAAGGCGCAAGCGAAGAGCTGATAGCGCGTAGGGATCTTCGCGACGATATCGGGGAACAGAAAATCTGAGGCGCGGCGGAAAGGCACGTGAAGCATCAACCATTGACCAAAGTACTTATCGCTGAAAATGCTCACCGTTTCGGCCGCCACGACCTTCTCGCCGAACGTCGTCTGCACACTCGCGAACTCGCCCAAGTCCAGCGCCGAGTCAGCAGCGGCATGGAGCTTTTGGATCCAAGCGACCACTTCTCCAGCAGCATTGGATTTCCGAAGATACTCCAGGAGCGACATGCTGTCACTTCGCCAAACACATTCCTCGTACCTGCGTACGAACTCCGGCTGTGCGTCCATCGTCGGCCAGGGTGCTACGATCGGCAGCATGGTGCCTCCCAGTGCGAAATCAGGAAAGAGCTGCTTGAACAGTGTCACCCACATCTCGGGCTCGGACGGATGCAGCGTGCTGAGGATGCGGAGGGCCATCCCATATCCCGAGACGCCGGTGTCGGCCAGCATCTCGTTGTGGAAGCTGCTGCTGAACTTGACATTATAAGTGGCAACATACCGCATGAGCAGCCCGCGACCGCCGGATCCTGCCGCCTGCGGTGCTATGTTGTCCACGTGGCCTTTGAGTATATCCACTTCCTCCAGCCCGTACGCGCGGACACCCTGCTCTGCGTCCTGCTCCGTGTGGTGCAGACGCACGACTTCATCGACAGTGTCCCAACGGGAAGGCTCTTCGTGCACCGGCCAGCCGCTGCCACTGTAGCTCAGCTGGTCCAGGACATACCCGCGGAGTGGGTGGCCTTCGGGTGGCTCGGTTGCGTGCAACTTCTCGTGCAACCGCACAGCCTCCGGCTTTTCCACGAAGAGGACTGCGTGCAGATGAACGGCACCGCGGCCGTGGTAGGCCTGAGTCCCAGCCTTTCGTTTGCCGTCCTGATACTCCAGGCGCGCGGCAAAGTTGATGCGACGACCGCCGCACAAGAGATGCTTTTGCCAGAGCTTGCTGCTTTCGCCGTGCTTTCGACTGCCTCCTGCTACCCACTCGCGCAGGAGCTCCAGAAGGATGTGGGCAAGATGCAGCGTCTCCGGTCCCTCCAGGTGTAGCCTGGAACGAAACAAGTGGCGCATCTGATGGAGCAAGGCCTTGTGATACGGTGCGCTCCATTCGTATGGTGCCCATGTTTTGAAGAGGAATGGGTACCCGCATTGCCGTTGCAGGTCGATAACGGCTGCATGCCGCACGGCCCAATACGCCGGCGTGAAGGGCGAGCCCTTGAGCAAAATACGCATGGGGAGGTGGGGTTGCACGTGGCGCTTGCTGCCGAAGTCACTCCAGAAGGCTAAGTCGAACACGTATTGCAGCAGTTCGTATTCGCCAGCGTAATCCAGGATCGGCCCAAGAACCTTCTTGAGGAAACTGCGGCGGAGGCTATTGCGGCCAGGATCGTCTTCACGTTCTCGGTCGTCGTCGTCGCTGTCTTCCTGGAGCAGACCCTGGCGCTGGAGCCGTCGGGCATCCGTCGCCCTTGCCACAGACTCGCACAAGTCGGAGTTGTAGTACAGGTCTGGCCACAGGGCAGTTTCGATTCCAGGAGTTTCCAGCGTCTGCAGCGGGCGGCGACGGGCTGCGTCCGTCGGCATCGGATGGTCTCGAAGGAAACGACGATGCTGCGTCACAAAGTTCCTATACTCGGAAGACGAGTGTCGCATCAAGAAATTGAAAGCTTTCTTCGCCTTCGTTCGCCACGTCCGGTGCTCGAGTGCAGCAATTTTCGCTTCCACATCCGTGTCGGACCAAAGCAAGCGCAGCAAGGCGGTGTGCACACGATATCCGTGAGGTGGACGTTGATACGGTCCACAGTCGATATCGAAGGGCCGAAGGGCAGCCACCACATCATTGCAGAGACCCCGCAGCTGCCGGGGCACGCGGTCAACGGTGGGCACCGACTCTACGCCGTCGCGGCGACACCACCGACAGTTGGGCACGGCCGGATCGGCCACGCGGCGCGTGTCAACTTCTTTGAGATGCCTCGGCTCCAAAGAAAAGCATCTGTCGCAAATAGCCCATGCTCCTTGCTTACACCAGTTCTCGAGCATGCTTGCCAACGGAGTAATGGCTGCACGAGGAAGGCCGGTGTCGTTGTCGGCTACGTCTCGAACACGTTCCGCCGCTGCGTCCGTCCAGGGATTGGACCACTGCCGACCCGTGTGGCGCACTTCTTTCGGCTGAGCGGGAAAGAACTTCCGGCGCACACGTGTGCGGTCTTCCGTCGCCCGCCGGCTGTATGTAGCAGCTTCTGCTTCGGGCAGCGCCGGCACACGCAGGCGTCTCCTGTGAGCCAACAGCCGCTCCCATCGTTGCTCCACAGTCTCCGCCGCGGCTCGCCGACGCGCCTGCCGCACTCGGCGCGGCTCTTGCGCCAGCCTAGCCTCGAAGTCTTCCAAGTGCTCTGCCGGAACTGCTTTTAAGGCTTCGGCCACAAGGTCAGGATCCGCGGCTTGACGCTTTCGCAGCACGGCCAGGATGCGTCCCCGGCCTTGCGACGTCGCGACAGCCACGCGCAGGCTTGCTGCCGAATGGAAGGCAGCTGAAAGCCCCAGGACTTGCAGCGGCCAGTGCAGACGCACCGTCTCGGGCAAGCGCCCGACGGCCTTATGGTAGACAGCTTTGTCATGACCCCAGAAGAAGCGCAGGGAGCGACTGAGTTGACCGCGCCCGCGCTCGCTCGTCAAGCCAGTTTGAAGCAGTGCTGCATTGCACCAGGGACATTGCCGCGATACATCGTGGTACCGAGCTCGCTGTCCAGAGACCCGCGTCGAAAAGCAACACGGGTCGCCAGGACGACCGTGGCAGAGGTTGGTCGTCGCCGCAGAAGCAGCAGCAGGCCGCTGGATAGGCCGTGCGGCAGGTTGCCCTTCCATGATCGGCACGATGCCTTGCTCCATCACTCGGCGACGGCGCGGCCAGGCCGCAGCAGCTGCAGCAGGCTCGGCAGCAGCGGGGCGCTTCGACATGGTGGTCGGTCACGGCGGGTAACTATGCACGTCTCTGTGAACCAACAGCGGACATAAGGTAATGCTGGAAGCCAGACTAAAAAACAGCAGCACGACACATTGTTAGCTTTGAAGCAGTTACCCAATGCAATCGGCTCAGCTACACAAGAAGAGCCTGGGAAAATGATTGCAATCAGAAAACGACGTAACTGTCATGTCTGAGGCGCGCCGGAGGAGTACTAGTCTAGCGGCAGTAGCAGCAATAGCGAATAGCAAAACTACTTGGAATAGTAGTGTCGCAGCAGTAAAAGGAAACCAAAAACAGCAGCACAACCAGTAGCAGCAGCAGCAGCAGTCGGAGCAGGAGTAGAGGAGTAGTAGCGATCAGGAATAGCGGTAACTGAGAGAGCGGAGTCCTCCTTCATGAAGAAAGCAAAGATAGGAGCGTTACAAGCGGCTGCTTACGGGCTAGGCCCAAGTTGACTAGGCAGCTATTTATTCATAGAGAAGGCAAAGATAAGGAATTAGACAGGCGGGCCGCTTGGACAGATTCTGCAGGCCGTCGACGACTGCCCTTGCGTATCGGGCGGGACGCGACTGGAATATGAACGCTGAAAGCGCTCCGAAAAAGGTAGGCCCAGATCGCTGGCCATATACGCGCTTGGGCTAGCTTGGACGACAGAGTCCTCTTTCATTATGAAGGCAAAGATAAGGTAGCCCGTTGCAGGCAGTGGTTTCCGGAGTGGGCCCAGATTGGACCCCGGAGTCTTCCTTCATGAAAAAGACAAAGATAAGAAAGCGCCGATACGGGTGGCGGGTCCGTCTTCACTCCGAAGAGGAGTCCTCTTTCATGAAGAAGGCAAAGATAAGGGAGGGACGTTACAAGCGGCTGAGCTTCAACGACGGAAGTCCTCCTTCATTAAGAAGGCAAAAATAAGGTAGCTCCTTGTTGCAAGCAGTGGTTTCTGGAGTGGGCCCAGATTGGACGTAGGCGGTCTCCTTCATTAAGAAGGCAAAGATAGGGGAGCGCCGTCCGTACGGGCAGTGGGGGCCGCCCGAACCGGCCGTCCATACGGACAGTGGGGTCCTCCTTCATTAAGAAGGCAAAGATAAGGTATGGGCCCAAATTGGACGTAATGTGTTTCCTTCATTAAGAAGGCAAAGATAGGGGAGCGCCGTCCGCACGGCGCCGTCCGTACGGGCAGTGGGGGCCGCCCGTGGTCTCTTTCATTAAGAAAGCAAAGATAAGGGACTGCCGTCCGTACGCGCAGGGGGCCGCCCGAACCGGCCGTCCGTACGGACAGTGGGGTCCTCCTTCATTAAAAAGGCAAAGACAGGGGAGGGCAGGGGGCCGCCCGAACCGGCCGTCCGTACGGACAGTGCCCAAATTGGAGGTAAGGTGTTTCCTTCATTAAGAAGGCAAAGATAGGGGAGCGCCGTCCGCACGGCGCCGTCCGTACGGGCAGTGGGGGCCGCCCGAACCGGCCGTCCGCACGGCGCCGTCCGTACGGGCAGTGGGGGCCGCCCGAACCGGCCGTCCGTACGGGCAGTGGTGGTATCCTTCATTAAGAAGGCAAAGATAAGGGAGCGCCGTCCGTACGGGCAGGGGGCCGCCCGAACCGGCCGTCCGTACGGATAGTGGGGCCCTCCTTCAGTTAAAAAGGCAAAGATAAGGGGAGCGCCGTCCGTACGGGCAGTCGGAGCCGCCCGAACCGGCCGTCCGTACGGGCAGTGGGGTCTTCCTGCACGCGCCGCCGTCCGTACGGGCAGGTGGCTGCCAAACCGGCCGTCCGTACGGGCAGTGAAGGCCGCCCGAACCGGCCGTCCGTACGGGCAGTGGGGTCCTCTCGCACGCGCCGCCGTCCGTACGGGCAGTTGGCTGCCAAACCGGCCGTCCGTACGGACGGGTCCAGTCTGCGGGTTATCCGAGATGCGGCTGCCCGAACCGGCCGTTCGTGCGGGCACTTGGTGCGTACAGGGAGTGCGCCCGAACCTGCCGTCCGTACGGGCACTTGGTGCGTACAGGGGCACACGCACCGCCCCCGTCCGTACGGGCAGTGGGTCCAGCCTGCAGATGGGGCCAGCCTGCGAGAGCTGGCAAGGAAGCCGTCTGTACGGGCAGCTGGCTGCCTTTCGGAAATTTGGAAAATTGTGGCTGATGTTGGAGTACTAAATTCTTTTCATAAAATGTGTATTTTAGCTTAGGCCAGGCGCCAATGTCGAAGGCAAAGATAAGGTAGCTCCTTGTTGCAAGCAGTGGTTTCTGGAGTGGGCCCAGATTGGACGTAGGCGGTCTCCTTCATTAAGAAGGCAAAGATAGGGGAGCGCCGTCCGTACGGGCAGTGGGGGCCGCCCGAACCGGCCGTCCATACGGACAGTGGGGTCCTCCTTCATTAAGAAGGCAAAGATAAGGTATGGGCCCAAATTGGACGTAATGTGTTTCCTTCATTAAGAAGGCAAAGATAGGGGAGCGCCGTCCGCACGGCGCCGTCCGTACGGGCAGTGGGGGCCGCCCGTGGTCTCTTTCATTAAGAAAGCAAAGATAAGGGACTGCCGTCCGTACGCGCAGGGGGCCGCCCGAACCGGCCGTCCGTACGGACAGTGGGGTCCTCCTTCATTAAAAAGGCAAAGACAGGGGAGGGCAGGGGGCCGCCCGAACCGGCCGTCCGTACGGACAGTGCCCAAATTGGAGGTAAGGTGTTTCCTTCATTAAGAAGGCAAAGATAGGGGAGCGCCGTCCGCACGGCGCCGTCCGTACGGGCAGTGGGGGCCGCCCGAACCGGCCGTCCGCACGGCGCCGTCCGTACGGGCCGTGGGGGCCGCCCGAACCGGCCGTCCGTACGGGCAGTGGTGGTATCCTTCATTAAGAAGGCAAAGATAAGGGAGCGCCGTCCGTACGGGCAGGGGGCCGCCCGAACCGGCCGTCCGTACGGATAGTGGGGCCCTCCTTCAGTTAAAAAGGCAAAGATAAGGGGAGCGCCGTCCGTACGGGCAGTCGGAGCCGCCCGAACCGGCCGTCCGTACGGGCAGTGGGGTCTTCCTGCACGCGCCGCCGTCCGTACGGGCAGGTGGCTGCCAAACCGGCCGTCCGTACGGGCAGTGAAGGCCGCCCGAACCGGCCGTCCGTACGGGCAGTGGGGTCCTCTCGCACGCGCCGCCGTCCGTACGGGCAGTTGGCTGCCAAACCGGCCGTCCGTACGGACGGATCCAGTCTGCGGGTTATCCGAGATGCGGCTGCCCGAACCGGCCGTTCGTGCGGGCACTTGGTGCGTACAGGGAGTGCGCCCGAACCTGCCGTCCGTACGGGCACTTGGTGCGTACAGGGGCACACGCACCGCCCCCGTCCGTACGGGCAGTGGGTCCAGCCTGCAGATGGGGCCAGCCTGCGAGAGCTGGCAAGGAAGCCGTCTGTACGGGCAGCTGGCTGCCTTTCGGAAATTTGGAAAATTGTGGCTGATGTTGGAGTACTAAATTCTTTTCATAAAATGTGTATTTTAGCTTAGGCCAGGCGCCAATGTCGAGGTCCCCTTCTTTCTTTTCATGCAGCTGCTCTTGGAGTGCACGCGGCGCCGTCCGCACGGGCAGCTGGCTGCCAAACTGGCCGTCCGTACGGGCAGTGGGGTCCAGTCTGCGGGTTGTCCGAGATGCGGCCGCCCGAACCGGCCGTCCGTACGGGCATTTGGTGCGTACACGGCGCCGTCCGTACGGGCAGTTGGCTGTCTGTCGTAAATCTGGAAAACTGCAGCTGATTTTGGAGGTCCCCTCCTGTCTTTTCATGTGGCTGCTCTAAACCATGCCCTCTCCTCCGTAAGGAGACTGGGGTCAGCCTGTGAGCTGTCAGGGAGTACACACGCCGCCGTCCGTACGGACAGTGGGGTCCAGCTTCAAAACCTCACAAGCCAGTTAGGATCCGGACCCTAGGGTTTAGGGTATTACAATATACTATTATTTATTTGCACGCTGGAAGCGTAAATGCACCCTCCGAAGTGAACGAATGCGGGTACGGAGCACGAAGCTAACTCTTCGCGCTCAAGCTGCAAGCAGTAAGCATCCGTTCTTGAAACGGATGCCGGTGCTCAGCGCACGTGCGCTGGTGATGCCATAGGCTCCTAGACGTCGCGACAGGCATCACCAGCTTTAGTTTAGGGTTTAGGGTTTAGGGTTTAAGGTTTAGGGTTTAGGGTTTAGGGTTTAGGGTTTAGGGTTTAGGGTTTAGGGTTTAGGGTTTAGGGTTTAGGGTTTAGGGTTTAGGGTTTAGGGTTTAGGGTTTCCCATCGTAAGCGGCGCGCCTCGACCCAGAGGGTCGCGGGGCGGCGCGCCGCAGCTGGACGCGACATCCCACCCCAAGACCACCCAGACATTGAATCTGTTAGGGTTTAGGGTTTTTCTTATGGGGTTTGGACGACGTACAACGTTTTCCCTTAACGTTTAAGGTCTTGCTCTAGGCTTTCGTCGGGGGGCCGTTCACAGCGGTACTGAATGTTTGGTGGAGCGCAGGGCGCCGTCCGCACGGGCAGTTCCGTCCGTCCGTACGGGCAGTGGGGTCCAGCCTGCGAGCTGTCTGGGAGTACAATGGCGCCGTCCATACGGGCAGTTGGCTGGCGGCCGTCCGTACGGCCATTTTGTGCGTACAGGGAGTGCGCGTTGAGGTCTGGCTTATAGGCTTTCGTCGGGAGCCGTTCGCAGCGGTACTGAATGTTTGGTGGAGCGCGGGGCCGTACGGGCAGTGGGGGCGGCCCGAACCGGCCGTCCGTACGGACAGTGGGGTCCTCCTCCATTAAGAAGGCAAAATTAAGGTATGGGCCCAAATTGGACGTAAGGTGTCTCCTTCATTAAGAAGGCAAAGATAGGGGAGCGCCGTCCGCTAGCTCCGTGACAGGAACGGTTTTCGGAGTGGGCCCAAATTGGACGTAAGGTGTCTCCTTCGCTAAGAAGGCCAAGACAGGGGAGCGCCCTCCGTACGGGCAGTGGGGGCCGCCCGAACCAACAGTGTGCGGTCCAGTCTCGGAAAGCCCGCTTCGGCCACCGTGGTCTCCTTCATTAAGAAAGCAAAGATAAGGGAGCGTCGTCGGTACGGGCAGTGGGGGCCGCCCGAACCCGCCGTCCGTACGGGCAGTGGTCCTCTTGCACGCGCCGCCGTCCGTGCGGGCAGTTGGCTGCCAAACCGGGCGTCCAGCGCCGTCCGTACGGGCAGCGGGGGGCCGCACGAACCGGCCGTCCCTACGGGCAGTGGGGTCCAGTCTGAGGTCCAGTCTCGGGTTGTCCGAAATGGCAGCCCGCTTCGACCGTCCGTGTCTCGTTCATTAAGAAAGCAAAGATAGGGGAGCGCCGTCCGTACAGGCAGTGGGGGCCGTCCGAACCGGCCGTCCGTACGGGCAGTGGGGTCCTTTTGCACGCGCCGCCGTCGCCTGCGAGCTGTCAGGGAGTGCACACGGCGCCGTCCGTACGGGCAGTTGGGTCCAGCCTGCGGACTGTCCGAAATGCGGCTCTTTTCATGTGGCTGCTCAAGACCTCAGGAGCCATTTAGGATCCGGACCCTAGGGTTTAGGGTATTAAAATATACTATTATTTATTTTCACGCTGGAAGCGTAATGCACCCTCCGAAGTGAACGAATGCGGGTACGGAGCACGAAGCTAACTCTTCGCGCTCAAGCTGCAAGCAGTAAGCATCCGTTCTTGAAACGGATGCCGGTGCTCAGCGCACGTGCGCTGGTGATGCCATAGGCTCCTAGACGTCGCGACAGGCATCACCAGCTTTAGTTTAGGGTTTAGGGTTTAGGGTTTAGGGGTTTAAGGTTTAGGGTTTAGGGTTTAGGGTTTAGGGTTTAGGGTTTAGGGGTTTAGGGGTTTAGGGGTTAGGGGTTTAAGGGTTAAGGGTTTAGGGTTAAGGGTTTAGGGTTTAGGGTTTAGGGTTTAGGGTTTAGGGTTTAGGGTTTAGGGTTTAGGGTTTAGGGTTTAGGGTTTAGGGTTTCCCATAGTAAGCGGCGCGCCTCGACCCAGAGGGTCGCGGGGCGGCGCGCCGAGCTGGACGCGACATCCCACCCCAAGACCACCCAGACATCAAATCTATTAGGGATTAGGGTTTTTATAAGAGATATCTAGCAAATTGGCTTTGAAGTTGAAATATTCACCGCAAGCCATTTTTTCGGAGAGTAACTAACCAGGCAAGCGTTTTTTGGGCGGATAGTGTTACAACCAACCGCCAAGCAAGCGTTTTTTGGTCAGATATTGTGGAGGCCTTCGAGTCGCAGCCACGCGGCGCGGTGTAGGCGGAAAAGTATGAAAAAACTTCTTTGGCCTCGCAGGAAGAGGAAGTCGTGAGCTTTTCTTCACTTGGCTGGGATCAAATGGTCTGCGTTGACGATACCACCTATAAGGTAATCTTCATCCCTGGCCACCCTGGATAGCGCAACATAGGCTGCGGCCCGGCACCACCGGCGGTTGAGCCAAAGTGTGACATGCTCCAGTTCCGCACCTTGGAACTTGTAGATGGTGCCTGCGTAGCCCGTGCGGATCGGGAAGTACACGGCGCGCCCACGGGGAACGTCCGTGTCCGTGTAACGATAAATGGCCAGTCGCTTGCCCGTCTGTGTGCGGACACGTAGGCAGCCGGTGGTCGGAAAGTAGCCTTCCACCGTGGCCACCATGCCATTAACGTAATGGTTCTCTTTGTCTTGATTGCGAGTCAAGACAACCCTGAGGCCTCTGTACAGCTGGACTGGGTTCGGCAGCGGGGCACGATCGCGACGAAGGTTGCCGTATTCGTCGAAGTTCTCTTCATTGTCATCATAGTCGCCCGGAATCTCAGCCAACAGCTGCTGCTTCCGGTTGGAAAAGAGAACTTGTACGGCCAGGGCATTGATGCTAGCGGCCCCCCTCTTGGTGCAGGTGACAAAAGTCGTCTTTCCGCCGGTGCGCTTGAAGACGGAATCGATGTCAAGGCTCGTGGGCTCGTCGTGACCGGTCCAAGCCTTGTGCTGGTAGCACAAGCGATTGACGAAGCGCTTGCCTTCCTGGCCAAGCGGCTTGTGATGACGCAGGAAATCCAGCTTCGCCTGCAAGACGGCACACTTGCAACGCCGTACCTCGGTCAAGGTCACCACGTGCGTAAGGCGCCACTTGTCGTGGTCGCAGGCCCGCTGCGGGTGGATGCTCGGGAGTTGGCAGTCATCGCCCATAAGCAGCAGAAGGAGCTGCTTGCCGGTAGCACAGAACATGGCATCCAGGCGCCCATACTCCTCGGCGCTGAGCTGCAAGGCTTCGTCAATGACCACGACATCGTACTCGGCCATGAGAGCAAGGGTCTCAGATTCTGGCCGGTAGAACAGGAAGGCGCCGGCGCAAGTGTCGACGTGGACGTCGGGGTGGCGCTGCCGCATGCGGCAGGCCAGCTGCCCCGTTGGCAGCGCGTACAGCACGCGGTGGCCACGCCGCACAGCCACGCGGATGAGGTAGTCGGCGACGAACGTCTTACCCGTGCCAGGGCCGCCCATACACACCAAGATGCTGTTCTGCTCCTCGAGGCGCAAAGCCACATCGTCGGCCTCTTCCGGTGTCTGTGCGTGCTTCAAAGCTTGAATCAAATCCAAGCGTTCCAGCGCGCACCGCTCCAAGGCTTGCTGCTGCCGGTTGAAGCGGGGCCGCTCTAGCCCAGCGGCACCCGGCAGCGAAGGCAAGGCTGGCTCGGGCGCTTCGTCCTCCAGCGAGATGAGGCCACGCAGGTATTGATCCACGATCTCACGCTGAGCATCCAGCAGAGCGAGGAAGTTAGCGATGGTCGCGTCCTTGTAGGCCGCCAGCTGCAAGTCCTCGCGCACTCGTGCTCTGTCCGTCCAGTAATCTCCAGCGGCGCGCAAGGCGCAAGCGAAGAGCTGATAGCGCGTAGGGATCTTCGCGACGATATCGGGGAACAGAAAATCTGAGGCGCGGCGGAAAGGCACGTGAAGCATCAACCATTGACCAAAGTACTTATCGCTGAAAATGCTCACCGTTTCGGCCGCCACGACCTTCTCGCCGAACGTCGTCTGCACACTCGCGAACTCGCCCAAGTCCAGCGCCGAGTCAGCAGCGGCATGGAGCTTTTGGATCCAAGCGACCACTTCTCCAGCAGCATTGGATTTCCGAAGATACTCCAGGAGCGACATGCTGTCACTTCGCCAAACACATTCCTCGTACCTGCGTACGAACTCCGGCTGTGCGTCCATCGTCGGCCAGGGTGCTACGATCGGCAGCATGGTGCCTCCCAGTGCGAAATCAGGAAAGAGCTGCTTGAACAGTGTCACCCACATCTCGGGCTCGGACGGATGCAGCGTGCTGAGGATGCGGAGGGCCATCCCATATCCCGAGACGCCGGTGTCGGCCAGCATCTCGTTGTGGAAGCTGCTGCTGAACTTGACATTATAAGTGGCAACATACCGCATGAGCAGCCCGCGACCGCCGGATCCTGCCGCCTGCGGTGCTATGTTGTCCACGTGGCCTTTGAGTATATCCACTTCCTCCAGCCCGTACGCGCGGACACCCTGCTCTGCGTCCTGCTCCGTGTGGTGCAGACGCACGACTTCATCGACAGTGTCCCAACGGGAAGGCTCTTCGTGCACCGGCCAGCCGCTGCCACTGTAGCTCAGCTGGTCCAGGACATACCCGCGGAGTGGGTGGCCTTCGGGTGGCTCGGTTGCGTGCAACTTCTCGTGCAACCGCACAGCCTCCGGCTTTTCCACGAAGAGGACTGCGTGCAGATGAACGGCACCGCGGCCGTGGTAGGCCTGAGTCCCAGCCTTTCGTTTGCCGTCCTGATACTCCAGGCGCGCGGCAAAGTTGATGCGACGACCGCCGCACAAGAGATGCTTTTGCCAGAGCTTGCTGCTTTCGCCGTGCTTTCGACTGCCTCCTGCTACCCACTCGCGCAGGAGCTCCAGAAGGATGTGGGCAAGATGCAGCGTCTCCGGTCCCTCCAGGTGTAGCCTGGAACGAAACAAGTGGCGCATCTGATGGAGCAAGGCCTTGTGATACGGTGCGCTCCATTCGTATGGTGCCCATGTTTTGAAGAGGAATGGGTACCCGCATTGCCGTTGCAGGTCGATAACGGCTGCATGCCGCACGGCCCAATACGCCGGCGTGAAGGGCGAGCCCTTGAGCAAAATACGCATGGGGAGGTGGGGTTGCACGTGGCGCTTGCTGCCGAAGTCACTCCAGAAGGCTAAGTCGAACACGTATTGCAGCAGTTCGTATTCGCCAGCGTAATCCAGGATCGGCCCAAGAACCTTCTTGAGGAAACTGCGGCGGAGGCTATTGCGGCCAGGATCGTCTTCACGTTCTCGGTCGTCGTCGTCGCTGTCTTCCTGGAGCAGACCCTGGCGCTGGAGCCGTCGGGCATCCGTCGCCCTTGCCACAGACTCGCACAAGTCGGAGTTGTAGTACAGGTCTGGCCACAGGGCAGTTTCGATTCCAGGAGTTTCCAGCGTCTGCAGCGGGCGGCGACGGGCTGCGTCCGTCGGCATCGGATGGTCTCGAAGGAAACGACGATGCTGCGTCACAAAGTTCCTATACTCGGAAGACGAGTGTCGCATCAAGAAATTGAAAGCTTTCTTCGCCTTCGTTCGCCACGTCCGGTGCTCGAGTGCAGCAATTTTCGCTTCCACATCCGTGTCGGACCAAAGCAAGCGCAGCAAGGCGGTGTGCACACGATATCCGTGAGGGGGACGTTGATACGGTCCACAGTCGATATCGAAGGGCCGAAGGGCAGCCACCACATCATTGCAGAGACCCCGCAGCTGCCGGGGCACGCGGTCAACGGTGGGCACCGACTCTACGCCGTCGCGGCGACACCACCGACAGTTGGGCACGGCCGGATCGGCCACGCGGCGCGTGTCAACTTCTTTGAGATGCCTCGGCTCCAAAGAAAAGCATCTGTCGCAAATAGCCCATGCTCCTTGCTTACACCAGTTCTCGAGCATGCTTGCCAACGGAGTAATGGCTGCACGAGGAAGGCCGGTGTCGTTGTCGGCTACGTCTCGAACACGTTCCGCCGCTGCGTCCGTCCAGGGATTGGACCACTGCCGACCCGTGTGGCGCACTTCTTTCGGCTGAGCGGGAAAGAACTTCCGGCGCACACGTGTGCGGTCTTCCGTCGCCCGCCGGCTGTATGTAGCAGCTTCTGCTTCGGGCAGCGCCGGCACACGCAGGCGTCTCCTGTGAGCCAACAGCCGCTCCCATCGTTGCTCCACAGTCTCCGCCGCGGCTCGCCGACGCGCCTGCCGCACTCGGCGCGGCTCTTGCGCCAGCCTAGCCTCGAAGTCTTCCAAGTGCTCTGCCGGAACTGCTTTTAAGGCTTCGGCCACAAGGTCAGGATCCGCGGCTTGACGCTTTCGCAGCACGGCCAGGATGCGTCCCCGGCCTTGCGACGTCGCGACAGCCACGCGCAGGCTTGCTGCCGAATGGAAGGCAGCTGAAAGCCCCAGGACTTGCAGCGGCCAGTGCAGACGCACCGTCTCGGGCAAGCGCCCGACGGCCTTATGGTAGACAGCTTTGTCATGACCCCAGAAGAAGCGCAGGGAGCGACTGAGTTGACCGCGCCCGCGCTCGCTCGTCAAGCCAGTTTGAAGCAGTGCTGCATTGCACCAGGGACATTGCCGCGATACATCGTGGTACCGAGCTCGCTGTCCAGAGACCCGCGTCGAAAAGCAACACGGGTCGCCAGGACGACCGTGGCAGAGGTTGGTCGTCGCCGCAGAAGCAGCAGCAGGCCGCTGGATAGGCCGTGCGGCAGGTTGCCCTTCCATGATCGGCACGATGCCTTGCTCCATCACTCGGCGACGGCGCGGCCAGGCCGCAGCAGCTGCAGCAGGCTCGGCAGCAGCGGGGCGCTTCGACATGGTGGTCGGTCACGGCGGGTAACTATGCACGTCTCTGTGAACCAACAGCGGACATAAGGTAATGCTGGAAGCCAGACTAAAAAACAGCAGCACGACACATTGTTAGCTTTGAAGCAGTTACCCAATGCAATCGGCTCAGCTACACAAGAAGAGCCTGGGAAAATGATTGCAATCAGAAAACGACGTAACTGTCATGTCTGAGGCGCGCCGGAGGAGTACTAGTCTAGCGGCAGTAGCAGCAATAGCGAATAGCAAAACTACTTGGAATAGTAGTGTCGCAGCAGTAAAAGGAAACCAAAAACAGCAGCACAACCAGTAGCAGCAGCAGCAGCAGTCGGAGCAGGAGTAGAGGAGTAGTAGCGATCAGGAATAGCGGTAACTGAGAGAGCGGAGTCCTCCTTCATGAAGAAAGCAAAGATAGGAGCGTTACAAGCGGCTGCTTACGGGCTAGGCCCAAGTTGACTAGGCAGCTATTTATTCATAGAGAAGGCAAAGATAAGGAATTAGACAGGCGGGCCGCTTGGACAGATTCTGCAGGCCGTCGACGACTGCCCTTGCGTATCGGGCGGGACGCGACTGGAATATGAACGCTGAAAGCGCTCCGAAAAAGGTAGGCCCAGATCGCTGGCCATATACGCGCTTGGGCTAGCTTGGACGACAGAGTCCTCTTTCATTATGAAGGCAAAGATAAGGTAGCCCGTTGCAGGCAGTGGTTTCCGGAGTGGGCCCAGATTGGACCCCGGAGTCTTCCTTCATGAAAAAGACAAAGATAAGAAAGCGCCGATACGGGTGGCGGGTCCGTCTTCACTCCGAAGAGGAGTCCTCTTTCATGAAGAAGGCAAAGATAAGGGAGGGACGTTACAAGCGGCTGAGCTTCAACGACGGAAGTCCTCCTTCATTAAGAAGGCAAAAATAAGGTAGCTCCTTGTTGCAAGCAGTGGTTTCTGGAGTGGGCCCAGATTGGACGTAGGCGGTCTCCTTCATTAAGAAGGCAAAGATAGGGGAGCGCCGTCCGTACGGGCAGTGGGGGCCGCCCGAACCGGCCGTCCATACGGACAGTGGGGTCCTCCTTCATTAAGAAGGCAAAGATAAGGTATGGGCCCAAATTGGACGTAATGTGTTTCCTTCATTAAGAAGGCAAAGATAGGGGAGCGCCGTCCGCACGGCGCCGTCCGTACGGGCAGTGGGGGCCGCCCGTGGTCTCTTTCATTAAGAAAGCAAAGATAAGGGACTGCCGTCCGTACGCGCAGGGGGCCGCCCGAACCGGCCGTCCGTACGGACAGTGGGGTCCTCCTTCATTAAAAAGGCAAAGACAGGGGAGGGCAGGGGGCCGCCCGAACCGGCCGTCCGTACGGACAGTGCCCAAATTGGAGGTAAGGTGTTTCCTTCATTAAGAAGGCAAAGATAGGGGAGCGCCGTCCGCACGGCGCCGTCCGTACGGGCAGTGGGGGCCGCCCGAACCGGCCGTCCGCACGGCGCCGTCCGTACGGGCAGTGGGGGCCGCCCGAACCGGCCGTCCGTACGGGCAGTGGTGGTATCCTTCATTAAGAAGGCAAAGATAAGGGAGCGCCGTCCGTACGGGCAGGGGGCCGCCCGAACCGGCCGTCCGTACGGATAGTGGGGCCCTCCTTCAGTTAAAAAGGCAAAGATAAGGGGAGCGCCGTCCGTACGGGCAGTCGGAGCCGCCCGAACCGGCCGTCCGTACGGGCAGTGGGGTCTTCCTGCACGCGCCGCCGTCCGTACGGGCAGGTGGCTGCCAAACCGGCCGTCCGTACGGGCAGTGAAGGCCGCCCGAACCGGCCGTCCGTACGGGCAGTGGGGTCCTCTCGCACGCGCCGCCGTCCGTACGGGCAGTTGGCTGCCAAACCGGCCGTCCGTACGGACGGGTCCAGTCTGCGGGTTATCCGAGATGCGGCTGCCCGAACCGGCCGTTCGTGCGGGCACTTGGTGCGTACAGGGAGTGCGCCCGAACCTGCCGTCCGTACGGGCACTTGGTGCGTACAGGGGCACACGCACGCCCCGTCCGTACGGGCAGTGGGTCCAGCCTGCAGATGGGGCCAGCCTGCGAGAGCTGGCAAGGAAGCCGTCTGTACGGGCAGCTGGCTGCCTTTCGGAAATTTGGAAAATTGTGGCTGATGTTGGAGTACTAAATTCTTTTCATAAAATGTGTATTTTAGCTTAGGCCAGGCGCCAATGTCGAAGGCAAAGATAAGGTAGCTCCTTGTTGGCAAGTGCCCGAACCGGCCGTCCGCACGGCGCCGTCCGTACGGGCCGTGGGGGCCGCCCGAACCGGCCGTCCGTACGGGCAGTGGTGGTATCCTTCATTAAGAAGGCAAAGATAAGGGAGCGCCGTCCGTACGGGCAGGGGGCCGCCCGAACCGGCCGTCCGTACGGATAGTGGGGCCCTCCTTCAGTTAAAAAGGCAAAGATAAGGGGAGCGCCGTCCGTACGGGCAGTCGGAGCCGCCCGAACCGGCCGTCCGTACGGGCAGTGGGGGCTTCCTGCACGCGCCGCCGTCCGTACGGGCAGGTACGGGCAGTGGGGTCTTCCTGCACGCGCCGCCGTCCGTACGGGCAGGTGGCTGCCAAACCGGCCGTCCGTACGGGCAGTGAAGGCCGCCCGAACCGGCCGTCCGTACGGGCAGTGGGGTCCTCTCGCACGCGCCGCCGTCCGTACGGGCAGTTGGCTGCCAAACCGGCCGTCCGTACGGACGGGTCCAGTCTGCGGGTTATCCGAGATGCGGCTGCCCGAACCGGCCGTTCGTGCGGGCACTTGGTGCGTACAGGGAGTGCGCCCGAACCTGCCGTCCGTACGGGCACTTGGTGCGTACAGGGGCACACGCACCGCCCCCGTCCGTACGGGCAGTGGGTCCAGCCTGCAGATGGGGCCAGCCTGCGAGAGCTGGCAAGGAAGCCGTCTGTACGGGCAGCTGGCTGCCTTTCGGAAATTTGGAAAATTGTGGCTGATGTTGGAGTACTAAATTCTTTTCATAAAATGTGTATTTTAGCTTAGGCCAGGCGCCAATGTCGAGGTCCCCTTCTTTCTTTTCATGCAGCTGCTCTTGGAGTGCACGCGGCGCCGTCCGCACGGGCAGCTGGCTGCCAAACTGGCCGTCCGTACGGGCAGTGGGGTCCAGTCTGCGGGTTGTCCGAGATGCGGCCGCCCGAACCGGCCGTCCGTACGGGCATTTGGTGCGTACACGGCGCCGTCCGTACGGGCAGTTGGCTGTCTGTCGTAAATCTGGAAAACTGCAGCTGATTTTGGAGGTCCCCTCCTGTCTTTTCATGTGGCTGCTCTAAACCATGCCCTCTCCTCCGTAAGGAGACTGGGGTCAGCCTGTGAGCTGTCAGGGAGTACACACGCCGCCGTCCGTACGGACAGTGGGGTCCAGCTTCAAAACCTCACAAGCCAGTTAGGATCCGGACCCTAGGGTTTAGGGTATTACAATATACTATTATTTATTTGCACGCTGGAAGCGTAAATGCACCCTCCGAAGTGAACGAATGCGGGTACGGAGCACGAAGCTAACTCTTCGCGCTCAAGCTGCAAGCAGTAAGCATCCGTTCTTGAAACGGATGCCGGTGCTCAGCGCACGTGCGCTGGTGATGCCATAGGCTCCTACACGTCGCGACAGGCATCACCAGCTTTAGTTTAGGGTTTAGGGTTTAGGGTTTAGGGTTTAGGGGTTTAGGGTTTAGGGTTTAGGGTTTAAGGGTTTAGGGTTTAGGGTTTAGGGTTTAGGGTTTAGGGTTTAGGGTTTAGGGTTTAGGGTTTAGGGTTTAGGGTTTAGGGTTTAGGGTTTAGGGTTTAGGGTTTAGGGTTTTCCCATCGTAAGCGGCGCGCCTCGACCCAGAGGGTCGCGGGGCGGCGCGCCGCAGCTGGACGCGACATCCCACCCCAAGACCACCCAGACATTGAATCTGTTAGGGTTTAGGGTTTTTCTTATGGGGTTTGGACGACGTACAACGTTTTCCCTTAACGTTTAAGGTCTTGCTCTAGGCTTTCGTCGGGGGGCCGTTCACAGCGGTACTGAATGTTTGGTGGAGCGCAGGGCGCCGTCCGCACGGGCAGTTCCGTCCGTCCGTACGGGCAGTGGGGTCCAGCCTGCGAGCTGTCTGGGAGTACAATGGCGCCGTCCATACGGGCAGTTGGCTGGCGGCCGTCCGTACGGCCATTTTGTGCGTACAGGGAGTGCGCGTTGAGGTCTGGCTTATAGGCTTTCGTCGGGAGCCGTTCGCAGCGGTACTGAATGTTTGGTGGAGCGCGGGGCCGTACGGGCAGTGGGGGCGGCCCGAACCGGCCGTCCGTACGGACAGTGGGGTCCTCCTCCATTAAGAAGGCAAAATTAAGGTATGGGCCCAAATTGGACGTAAGGTGTCTCCTTCATTAAGAAGGCAAAGATAGGGGAGCGCCGTCCGCTAGCTCCGTGACAGGAACGGTTTTCGGAGTGGGCCCAAATTGGACGTAAGGTGTCTCCTTCGCTAAGAAGGCCAAGACAGGGGAGCGCCCTCCGTACGGGCAGTGGGGGCCGCCCGAACCAACAGTGTGCGGTCCAGTCTCGGAAAGCCCGCTTCGGCCACCGTGGTCTCCTTCATTAAGAAAGCAAAGATAAGGGAGCGTCGTCGGTACGGGCAGTGGGGGCCGCCCGAACCCGCCGTCCGTACGGGCAGTGGTCCTCTTGCACGCGCCGCCGTCCGTGCGGGCAGTTGGCTGCCAAACCGGGCGTCCAGCGCCGTCCGTACGGGCAGCGGGGGGCCGCACGAACCGGCCGTCCCTACGGGCAGTGGGGTCCAGTCTGAGGTCCAGTCTCGGGTTGTCCGAAATGGCAGCCCGCTTCGACCGTCCGTGTCTCGTTCATTAAGAAAGCAAAGATAGGGGAGCGCCGTCCGTACAGGCAGTGGGGGCCGTCCGAACCGGCCGTCCGTACGGGCAGTGGGGTCCTTTTGCACGCGCCGCCGTCGCCTGCGAGCTGTCAGGGAGTGCACACGGCGCCGTCCGTA